ACAAACTCAACACAATAAGCAGTTTGAAAGAAATGAGTTTTAAATCTAGATTTGAAGTGCGTAGCTCCAGCTGCTTCCTAATATCGGAAGGAAGCGCCTTCCAGACGGCCGCAGAAGCGCATCTGAAAGTGCGCTGTGCGGTGTGTCAGTGGTAGCGGAGTGGCGTGTCACTGTGATGCTTATTTCGACATTGAGTGGTTAAATGGTCCATGGTTTTTTGCTGGGTGACCACAGCATCGAGTATCTGCAATTTGGTACCACGGCTTGTGCAGTGGATACGGTTTAGGGTTGTGGCCATTATCTTTGCAGAGGATCTCAGCCAGGGTTCTTCTGCATGAGGTCTTTCACGAGGTGTTTGTTTGCGACTTCTTGTGAACTCCATTCGGCTTTTCAGGCATCATCATCATGAAGGTTGAAGTTGCATTGTTGAAGGTTAAAGGCGTGGGTCCAAAAGGGCTTGTGCTACTTCAAGCGGTGGCGAGGGACATTATTGACATCCCCAATCAGTAAATGAGTGATCATCGGTGTAATGATAAATATGTGTGCAGCGGTGGAACAGTGAGGGTAACGCATTGCAATATGATCCCAGCGAACCGAGTTAGATTCCCACGGCTAACATCAGTGACGAGTGACATCTGAATCGGTACTGGGCCACCCGCCGTCGCAGTGGTGATATAAGGTCAACACCACCCCCCCCCCCGTGACCGGCAACATTGTGGGGACACATTTCATCGTGCAGTGGATTGACAGAAGCTTAAATATATAACTATTTCTGTGTAGTGTTCACGTAGTTAATGGGTGGGCATACGAGTGCTGCTTATGCCACAGGAAACCGGATTGAACAGGCACTGTCAGCACACGTTTTGAAGCAACCTTTTTAGCAATAAAACAATAAACCAAAGCAGTCGTTTGTATCAAAGTCTAGAGCGGAGTTGCAAGATTGGAGGGGGGGACACCAAGGGTTGCAATTTTATCGCTCGGTCAATTGCAGCCGCTAAGAAAATGCTCACGGCTGAGTTTCTGGGTGCGTCCCTGGGACACCGAGGTCAGGTGAACCCAGATCTCAGTCCCGTGGGGTCCCCTGGCCTCCGATAAGGTCAGAGCTATTCGCAGAAGACTCCAGCATCACCGAAATACCTCGGATTGATCTCGACGCAGAAACACAGTGTTACCTCTACCTTATTCTCCAAACTTTAGGGTACACACACACCCCTAACTTGTTCGTGGTCTCAAAAAAGTTCTACAAATTTGGCCACATGTGCACAATTATAAGGCGGATCTGCAAAATTTGCTTTAAAATGAGGGGGGGGGGGGGATGATGTGTCTTTGAATCCAGAGAATATGGTAAAAGATAAATCAACGAGTGAAGGGTTCACGGGTAGAGAGAGTAACCATGGTAGTAGCGATTGCAGAGCGCTGATGGTGTGCAGGTGAATGGAGTAATGAGAGTGGGGAGGAGTAGTGCAGTGGTTATGCATTGCACTACGAAACTGGCGACCCAGATTCGATTCCCGCTCATGGCCACCACCAATGACGATTGTCTGAACCGGTCCTGGGCTTCCCTTAAGTCGACTCGGCCTCAAATGAGTACCTGGTGCGATGTGTAAACGTCGCCACTGGGGAGACAAAGGCAGCCGGGCGCGGTCCTGGTCACCCACCCCCTCGTGTGCCGTGCTGGCTTGCGTAGGTGCTCGCTAACAGCACTTGCCCTAACAGTCTGTTAAGGCTATATGGGGATCTTTGTCTTTAGAGTAATGAGAGAAAGCCTTTAAATAACACACTCTTGTTGAAGCAGTGAGGTGGTGTCATCTTCCGAGGCCATTCCTGTGGACTAATTCAGATGACAATGCTGTATGCCGTGTAAGCTTTTTGCGTTCATTGTCTGCGTATTCCTCTTTGATCGCAATTTAACACCGTCGTGACTGCGCAGCATCCGTAAACACCCTCGTGGTATTTTATTTGTGATTGCCACGACTGCATAAAGGGGCGATTGTGTCGCCTTACCCCAGGCCCTGTCCCTTGCATAACTGCGCACATGGCGGCCCTTATGGATCCCCCTCCTTCGACCACGACGACGTTGACCCCTGTGTCTCTTGCGAGCGGCTCGTCTCGTCTCTAAACATTCACAAAACCGCTAACTCCCCCCGAGTTAAAGGGCACGGGCAAAACAGCGGCGATAAGCGCGTGGAAATCTGCTGAAGCAGCCGAATGCGTCCGAACGCCCTCGGTCATGTGGCCAAGCCAGAATTTCCTATGACTAGCACTTGGCTGTCAGAAGGCACTGATTTTACAGTCTCGGCTATGGTCTCGTGCCACGCGGTGGAGGTGCACGTTGTTTCTTTACGGCATTATTCTCGATGAAATTCTCCATGCAAAACAAGCTGAGCTCACGACGAGAATAATTTACTTGCCGTTGCGAAACAGAGACCTGGGCAAAATAAGATTTTACGAATGGTTTTAACAGCCTGAAATGCTAAGAGTGCATATTTAGTTGTGCGAGTGAGACTGCTAGGCTGTGCATTCGGCCTGTAATAAACGAATTGATCATAATTCAAGCCCCTACTTCCGGCAGCGGGTTGACAAATGGTGCTTTGATAATAATGCTATGCCCCTTTGTCAATCCACTGCTGGACGAAGGTCTGTCCATCCCCTATCGTTCGTGTGGGTTTGTAGGAGACGGGGCCCAGGAGCGCTTCAGTCAGAGAAACACTGCAGTTTCATAGCTCCTCTACTGCTGCTGCCACTGTGATAATAATAATAGGTTTAAACTTTGTTACATGCCACCACCACGGTTTTTTCTCACATTAAAAGAGAGACAGCGACTCCAGAAGTATCAGCAATCACAGTCAGGCGGGAAGGCAGCCAAGCGGTGAGCCGTGCCAAATTTCCCCCCACCCCCCCACTCCACAAGCTCAACAGCCCTCTATATATTAAGATCTTATAGGCCAATTAATGAGTGTTTACATGTGGAAGGAGACCGGAGCACTCGGAGAAAACCCACGCATACGAGGGGACAACACTCTATTCCATAGGAATGGAACAGGTGGAGTCCACATTTGCTGCATCGCCGTCTGCTGGCGAGTCATGGTACGGAACCTCGACACCCACGGGAAGGGAGTAGCACAACATTTTGTCGTGCGATGATCTACCAACAGTCGCTGCTGCTGCCTCCACAGTGCTGGATCACAGGCCACGTGCATAGCCGCCACTGCCTGGCATGTTCCGCAGTGGCAAAACAATGTTCGATTCAGACATGGAAATGTGACCTTGAATGGTGACAATTTACCAAATCACGGTGGTGGAGGGGTGGGGGGCTTGAAGCCCACTTGCGTGGTGGCTTGTGGATGGCAGGAGAGCAAGTAGGTTACCGAGCCATCTGCGGCAACTTTTGAGTGTAACTAACCCTGTCTACATAAACACGAGTAAATTGGTTTTCTGCGTGAAATGAACGAGACGATTATTGAAATGTGGTCGAGTCCTCTTTGCTGTGTAAATGTTTTCTTTAATCTCACAGATAAGCACGACAGTAAATGTTTATTCGAACAATGACATCGGTCAAAATTTTGCTTCTCTGTAAATGTTCTCGAATTGGACGTTTGATAATAGTTGTTACTCGTCCAGAGCTGTGACCCCTTGCCACAGTGCTTCTCAACACGGCCAAGGTTACTGAGGCCACAACATACAGAGAGATCACGTGTCCATGCCTCTAGCCAATACAGTGTTAGGAAGGTATTTGTTTAATTTTGTGTATTCGTGTGTTTTGTGTTAATAAGGCATCTGATTTGTGTTGTCTATTTGTTGTATGTTTTGCGTAAGGCGATGTGCCGTCGATATTTCCCTGAGCACATTCAAAATTGCTCCTGCACAGTATCTGTGCTGCAGCCTGTGCCCGCCCCCCCACGAAGGCCGACCCACGTTTGACAACCCCTGCCTTCATGTCAACAAACCGATGAGAGTTTTTGTTTTAGATAAAGGTTTGCATTGGGCTGGCACGCAAATGTACGCATTTGATCGCCTGCAAAACCTAGAGTGTGAAAAATTGTCAAACCGACCACAGGGTGGCATTAGTTGACACTCTGCAAAGAGGCGGATCCCCTGGCGTCTCTTGTACATTTACAAATTTGCGCCCTTGGAGTTAAGCTGGGCTGACTTATCATACACGGACGACGCGCGGTCAAAACATCTCGAGAGCTGAGTAATCACATGGGCATTAAATGGCAGGCATCATCGTCCTCATGCTTGAATCGTTGAATAAAATTACCGTGTTGACATTCGCGCTGACTTGTGTGAATGCGTTTTTCTTTTAATATAATAGTAACTCCATCAACACCTCGCTGGGTCGTTTCTCTCTTCAAAGAGGTTCCTGCCCAGGAGGTTTCAGAATCAAAACATTTATACTGGAGGAATCCGATGACCTATAAAGCTCTTTTTCACAGATGTCCAGTATGTTTGGCCAATCCCATGTTGAGTATATTTGTGCGTGGGAGGCAACCAAAGCAGTTTCTGGCCATGGCCAACATCAGTGGCAGCGCTGTCCTTGAGACAGTCTGGTCCCTTCACCTGATGAAGGCCGCTTGTGTTGTGGCCGAAACGTCGTGATTTTTTTTTACTTACGTGACTTTACCGAATAGAACCAAAGAGTAACCCCTTCTGAGCCTCGTCTGGGATGGCATTAAATTGAGCACCTAGGGTGGTGCTTAAATATCAGCATTGGGGATAACAGTGGCAGTCTGGCGTTGTGCTGTCCACACCAGCCCCTTGTATGCTGTGCGCCGGCCTTAATAGTTGACCGCTAACGGCATCTGCCCTAACAATCTGTGAAACGCTATTCGGGAGACCTTCGGCTTTGCCTCCTTCTCGTAAATAAGTTTATGAATGAAGGAATGAAATGTGTCCGTGAGCTGCCCGTTGCTGCTGGCCGCTGTGCGTCAACTCTGCACGCCCGTCCACCCATCGTTTCCCGTGCCGTCGTTCATCGCCTGCCGTCTCTGTCGCCGCAGACGACGCTCCGCCCTCGTTTGATGGGAAGCATGGGCGCGTGGGCTACTCGGTGCTGGCCGAGCTCGACATGCCCTGGTACAAGTCCGACCAGGAGCTGCGCGCCGAATTCACCGTCACGCTGCCCGTCGACCTCAACGCTGTCCCCGACGCGGCTGTGAGTGCACAATCGGGAAGGGCGCCACCTCGGGGAGCGCCCGCGGTCGTCCTGCGTTTCCCAGCACCCGTGTCGCCATCAAAAATAAAATTGATTTCCTTCTCAAATGAGCATCGAGCAAAATCCAGTTACCACCTTTATAAGTGGAAAATCAGAGGAAGCCTGGAATGGACTACAGAGACTCTGATCACATAGTAGCGTGCACTGCGAACCGCAGGCCGCATTGTAGACCGCAGAATGCATTGAGTAGATAGTTACTTTTTGGGGAAGCAAAGTGTATTGAATCATATTCCACTCGCAAACTATTTGTGCCTTATTTCTTTATCTGCTTCCACGAAGCCCAAAGCATTGTGGCCTATCCGTAACCGATCGTTACTGCTGCTGTTACCACTGTGTACGGTTTTGCAGTTGTGCTGTAAAGCTCCTGTATGGTTTTCGGGTCGTGCCGCGTGTTGTTCGGCACTATGCTCGGCGTTCCTCTGCCCGTGCTTTCAACGTCATGCTGAACAACATGTGGCACAACCTGAAAACACACGAGAGAGTTGCTGCTGCTGTTGGTGCGAGTGTGTTGTGTGTTTGTGTTCATTGCCAGAGTGTAGCGGTGAGCATGCTCCAATACGAACCTGGTAACCTAAGTTCGATTCGGGCTAACGGCCAACACCAGTGACGATTATCTGAACCGGTCCTGGCCCTCCCCTAGGTCGACTCGGCCTCAAATGCGTACCTGGTGCGGTGTGTAAAAACATCGCTGCTGGGGAGATAAAGGCGGTCGGGCGTGGTGTTGGCCACCCACCCTATCGTGTATTGTGCCAGCCTTCATAGGTGCTACCTGCTAACAGTACTTGCCCCAACAGTCTATGAAGGCTGTACGGTTGATCTTCGTCTTTGTTGTCAGTGCGAGAGCCGGTCTAATGCGAGCAAGCAGGTGAACTACTCGCTGGTGAAGAGTGGCACGCTGTCGCTGGAGTGCGTGGCTGAGAGGAAGGGATACGTGCCGGGCCAGGTGATTCAGCTGCTCACCTCCATCAGCAACAAGACTGGCAAAACCTTCCCACAGATCAGCTCAAGCCTCATCCAGGTATTTTGTAGCCGCTGCGCTGGCAGTGGCTCACAAACACGACGAACAAACAAGCTCACAACATTCGTCAATAGCACCGTAGCCTTAAGAGGAAAACGTGTAAAATAGGTGACGTTTCGGGCAATTGCCCTTGAGCAGAACACGCATGTAGTCGATTGTTAGCAAAGTGACGACCGGGTGAGCAATATAACATTTCTAACGCTTTGAAAGGTGATGGGTTATCTCCTAATTTGAGGCCGTAAATTCAAATCCTGACCAGGGTTGACTTGGACCAATCACCATCCTCTCCATCATTATCATCCATCACGAGTCACTTTCAGAGAATATGAATTATTTTGTTCAAATTTTACCCTGGAATGCCTCACAGAGTCTTGAGTGTGTTTATGAGGAGAGTTTTGCATCTCAGATATTTGACCAATGCCATGAATACATTTTCTCTTTGCGATTATGGACACACTGCTTTCTTTTGACTGTACCTATGCTGAACCTCTTTTGCACCGTACACAGCCAAACATGGTAACCGGAGGTGCGAAACTTAGTCCTAAAGGAGGAGATTCTTCTTCACTCGAATACGACCCATGTCACCGCTGTGCAGGTCTTCGTGGCTCTGCCGTGCAGCCCTCGCCGTTGTGTTTTCTCATCATACTGCGCGTTGCGCTTCGCGATGTCCGACGTTTCCTTCCATGTCCTGGGGGCTTCTGCAGCACGTTGAACAAAACATCAGACATGACGTCATGCCAGTGTGCCACAGCCATGGAACTTTAACGCTTTCAAATGTGTTGGGTTTGCCGATTCCCAAAATATGTTTGTCAAGGATTATAACTCAAATTCTGGGTCAAATAGAAACGTTAAATACTTTCGACCAAGTGAATGTCATGATTCTTGCGATTGCTGATTCTAATAAAATTATAATGGTCAAGCAGTGGATGACTATAGTTTACAGTCGGTGCAAAATTTGAACAGTATATCCACATTTTCTGTGGGCTACCATCAACCCTTGTTTTATCACCCCCATAAAACAGGCCTGTAAAAAGACAAACCTAATATTTGCTGTGACTTTATAGGAAGCATACTCGTCGGAAACCCATTGAGATGTAACGTTAATAAATACTTTGCCTATCTAATGTGTGATTTGGAAATGGGGCTCATGCCTTTGTGCTTTGTAAATTATATATTGGATAAGCAGTGCTTGCGGTCAGTAAGCCAAATAATCCGAGTTATCGGCTCAAAGATCAAATGTTCAACCTCGTTCACGTAAACTGCATATCATAGGCTATCAAATAACTCCTCATTATTTAGGACTAGTTGATGAAGCCTGTCTTGGCCAGGCAAAAGTTTTCAAAAATATAATAATTAACCTGATATGATTTTTTTACAATATATAGCTACGATCAGACGCTAACAACTACTTAAAAAATTTATTTTTCCACAAAACAAAAATTGTTGACGACTTGATTCAACTACTATTTAAAGACGTACCCATTGGAAACTGCTCCATTTAAAGATTCCATTATTTTTGTTTATTAGAAAGAACAAAAATTCATTCACGTAATGCTCTGAGGGGAAGCTGCTATCTTTGACCGTTTTCGAATTATTCAGATTTGAACATCTTAAAATATGTATTTTTTAGTTCAAACCCACTTAAGTACGAAATATCTCAAAAGCAATGAAAGGTAGAACAATGGTTCTTGCTTAAATTTTATTTTTATATTTAACACTCTATGAAACGAAAAAAAAACCGCATTCTTTTATTTTGAACGTTTTTTGAATGACACCAGGCACAAACATGTTCATGGTGCACTTACAATCGACATTTGGGGGGCTGAAATTGAAAACTGGCAGATTTTCAGATTTTTCCTGTTTGTGTCCTAAAAGCTCCCTATGTACCAAATGCCAACTCTCTACCTGTCTAGAAGTTATGCTGTAGGTCTTTGAGACATAGAGATTAAGGTATTTATTTATATAGATTGTGGTCTCAGAGGAATTCTTGAGTCAATCAAACATACATGTCTATTGAATGATAAGAAATGCCTTTGTATATCATTCATTGTCTTGATACCAGTGAAAGAGTCCCATAGTTATACATGTATATTATGTTTATTCTTTGGTTCTTTCGGTAAAGTCACGTAGATATAAAATAATAAAGCAAAATAATAAATAACAAACCTCACGGCATTTCCATCGCAACACAAGCGGTCGTCATCAGGCAGAGAGAAAAGGGGGGGGGGGCAAGCCTCCAACTTTACTGAAAGAACCAAAGAATAAGCATTCCTGCAGTAACGAAGTTTCAAGTCAAAATGCATATTATTATTATCATGTATCTATTTAATATAAATATTGATCTTATCAGCAATTACCCTGTTCTGCTTTCAAAGTTAAATCACTTCGCAAAGAAGTGTCCGGTTCTGAACTATGGACTCTGCATCAGCCAACTCCCCGGGCACGTGGCGAGGGCGGTGGTGACTTTACCACCCAGTTGCCCTCACAGATAGCCTGCACTGTCGTATCAGCAAAAAAAAAAAACTATCAGCAAAACAAGGAGAGCTTGTGTCTTGCCGTTTTATCGGCCTGGTAGATGAATGGCCAATGTCCACACGTACCATCGCTGCGTTTGCACGAGCACGGTGGGTGGGCGGCTGGATGAAAATATTTGTTGATTTATTTTTTTCTTGCGCCAGAGGTGCCTGCAGTTACGAAATGTTAACTGCCTCGCCTGGTATACAGGAGGTCGTGGATCCGATGCCGACCCTGACGCCTGTATCTTTGGAGTTTGGATGTCTCTCTCTCTCTCTGTCCCCGTGGTCTTGTGGATTTTTTCTCCGTACCCTCCGGTTTTTTCCTCCACATTTAGGAACGTGTGTTGAGAGTATTTGGCCGCTTTAAATTTCCACATGATAAGCCACTTCGGTGAGCTTTAATTTTGGCCAGGTCACACAAGGAGCTCGATATCTCAGTGCGCCTTACCTGGTAAAATAATACAAATAGTTTAGTTTAGAAGAAACGTCTGTGCAAATATTTGTCGGAGCCGAACGAAAGGTGGAGGGTTGCACTTTCAGTGAACGCCCGGCGGATGGCGCTGTTGCTGCGACGAGAGCGGTGAGCGCGGCCGCGGTGCGACAGAGACGCGCGGTGCGACAGAGACGCGCAACGACCCCCCCCTCCCAGCCCCAGTCACCAATCCGTTTTTGCGGTGGATTGTCCATGGGCCAGAGGAGAATTCGGTACTACTGGAAGCGTCACATTTATTTTTTAGGGAGGCTGTTTTTTTTTATAGACCAGGTGTCGGCAACCAAAATAGCAAGAGTTTTTTTTTTCGAATTGTGAAAAATAACTCAAGATTTCAGGAGACGCAATGCATGTGAATAATAGGCAGTCCTAAATAAATAACATCACAAAGCAGTCCTTAAAGAGCCGCATGCGGCTCCGGAACCCGCGGGTTGCCGACCCCTGGGCTAGATGAATAATAAAAGTGGATTACGTGATGAAATGCTGATGGAATAAGGTCACTGCATAATTCGCTTTCATTGGCGATTGAAGGTTTGTTGGTAAAACTCAGGATTTTGCCTTCTCAGGTGGTATCAGCAAGTATATGGTCTGTGCCCATGGACTAAGGTTGTCAAGGATGCACCGTAGTGGTAATTCTTGACAGCGACGAAACTGTTAGACAGCTGTCATGCTACACCAATGGTTGATTCAGAATAGCCACCAAGTGAGACTGCGGCCACCCCCGTCAAACAATGGACCACATAAGCAACGTCACTGCCGTTGAGATTATTTACCGGCAGCATTTCACATATTCACCATGACACCACTGCTGAAGCTGTGTCTATTTGAATCTGTGGTTGTCTGTCTATGTAGGTTTAAGAATCTCCACCTAAGTCTACATCTTAAACCACAGGGCCCCACATAGTTACACCACTGGCCACTTCAATCATTCGCTGGCAGCATATCAGTTGTTCACCATGAGGCTACTCCTGAAGCCACCCACTGGCTCATGTTAGCATATAGACGTTGAAATATGAAAGGGCCTAAGTTCAGCAGATTAATTCTGTGAGTGAGATCAATCTCTTGTGTGCACACATTTTATATTTCAGACTTGCAAAGTTTTATGCAGTCCCCCCCCCCTGCCCATAATGTGGAATGAATAAAAGCATCCACTAAAGGTCACTGGCTCGGTGATGTGACTGGTAATGACTCCCGCAGTGACACATTCCTTGGATTCACAACCCAGGGCTCCTACACATGTAGACTCGGTGCCCTGCCAGCAATCTTTGGACCTTTGAGTTTTTCGCGTTTAGTATTCTCGACGATGCGACGTGTACATTATCATGGAGATCAGCTGGTAGCATGCACAGCCAAAACACTGCTTGTAAAATCTGTGTCGTCTGCTATTATCGCTGAGATTTAATATTTACAGAAGGTGAATTGTTAACACCACGTATCATGTTAATACTATTTTATCATTATATAGATGAAGACCTTTTATTTAAAAGCAGGTACACAGACGTGTCTTCTGTGGATCATTATTGTAAATCAGCTTAAGGGCGAATGTTTGTTATCTGCGTAGTGAATAAAGTAATTTCTTGGGGCTCAAAATATCTTGATCATGAAAGACCCGGGTCATGAAAATTCGACAGCGAAACAATAAAACATTTAAATGAAGTAATATGCAAATGTTCATATCCAACCTAAAGTATTTCTATTGCAGGAAATGTACCCATTCATCGTGGGAGCTCTGGCACACAATGAGTGTCACAGCAAAACATGGTCGTGTCACAAATACTTTTCATGCCTTCCCCCCCCCCGCACAAATCCTATGATGACTGTAGCAGGAATGAAACTGTGGACTGGCTCAGTGGGGAGCACCCTGGCCACCCAGCCACCGGCCACTGGCCATGCACTGATTCATTAATTCAAATTGACTCTAATGCTCAAGATAGTATGTGTTGGATCATACGTGTAAGAATCAACTATTTCATTTGCATGTGTAATGTATATAT